GTGCAGGCCAGTGTAGACCAGATGAGGGCATCCGATACCGAGTTACAGATGGCTCTGAGTTACTATGTGGGTGTTGAATTGAGCCTGGGTTCTCCGCAAGAGGAGCAAGTGCTTTTAACTACTGGGCCCTTTCTCCAGCCCCTAAATTTAATTATTTTAACCAAAATACGTTTAGACTTGAAATGACAACTGCTTGTTTCATTTAAAAAATAATCAAAATTATTTTTAAAAAAAAAAATCAAAAATCCAAATGCCCTGGTTAGGAATAAAATGCTTTGATTGTGCCAACCCCACAGCTGTGAGTCAAGTTCAGCTCTAAGGTTCACAGTTGTTCCTCTCTCAGAAATACCTTTTCTCGGTTTTCAGCCATCCTTCCCCCCCCCCCCCCACAGCTTTCTGTTTCTGTAGCGTGGGCCTGTTCTTGGCTACCCTGTTGCCACTTAACCCTGAAAGCACACTACCTTCATCATTTTAGTACCCAGCACTCCAGCCTCTGCACGGCGGCTCTGAGGGGAGACCAAACACCTTTGTTCTTACGCAGTTTTGAAATGAGGTGCACCCACCTGGCCAGTCTGATTTTGTATTTTACTCCGATACATATGCTGGACCGCTCAGAGGGCCCTACATTGTGTTGTTCTAAGTCATGGCAGCCTTCTGTCTGCCTCTGGCCAGGAGCCATTCTGCTCTCTTGCCCAACAAGCCCCCTTCAACTTAGCCTGCCTTCACCTTTAAGAGCCGGCTAGGAGGCTACCTCATTCAATCGCCCGTTCTTATCTCCTCCCACCCACAGAACCCTTTGTTCTCTCATTTCTGCTTCTGGAAATGTTAGCTTCTACTTCCCAATGAAATGGTAAGTTTTGAGAGTCTATGAGGTGCTTACTGTATTACCTTTTAAGTATAACAAAATCTGACATGTGTAATGCCAAGACTATGGGAGTTGAGAAACATTTATTTTTACGCTGATGACTTCTATAAGCACTAAAACAAACATTTTTGCGGATCACAAATTTCAAATGCACACCAGAAAAACATAGTCCACAATGCCATGCCCTACACTTTACTGTGAAAAGATCTATCAGTCACTCCAGACTCTACAAAGTAAGCATGCCCTCTTCTGGTCACTGGGTCCCATTCAGTAAAACTGCCAGACTATTTCTCTTACCCTAGCAGCAACTGGGGTGCAAGGGGGCAGAACCAAGGTCTCCCCTTCTCAAAGTGATGAGACTCTTACCTTGTTTAGCAGTTCTGTCGTTCCACCTTCATTGATTGGAACAAGTTTAGGCTTTGTGATATCCATGATGGGCTGTAACAAAATGAAGAAACCAATCTAAAATTACATAGAGTAAAGCAAGAATCATCAAACATTCGTACTTTCCAAACAGTCCACCAGGACTTCAGCTCCACAGATATGATTCTTGTTGGGTTCACTCTGTTCCGTCTAGTGCCTGTGACATGCCATAAGAAGCCACATATATGACAGAGATAAAAACGAAACTCAGTCGGGTGTCGTGACACATGTCTTTAATCCCAGCACTCAAGATGCAGAAGCAGGAGGATCTCTGTGAGTTCAAGGCCAGCCTGGTCTACAAATGAAGTTCCAAGCCAGCCAGGGCCGTTACACAGAGAAACCGTGTTTTAAAAACCAGAAACAAAAAAAACACCAAAACACAAACAAACACCCCCCCCAAAGAAACCCAACCTCCCTGTACATTTTTTTAATAAAGATGGAAAGAAGGAAGGCAAGGAGCTCATAACCAGACTGGATAAAATCTCTAGCCTCTAGGACTGGAATTTTCATCTGTGGTAGCTGAAAATAATTTCTACAAGAACCTCACACCATGAGGTTGTAATGGCTGAGGGTTAGCACAAATATTTGAGAATTTTAGTAGCCTCTTACCCAAAAATTTCTTAGTCAGAAATATATTCCAAAGGGTTATTAAAAATGTCTTCTATCTAGGCAGTGGTGGTGCATGCCTTTAATCCCAGTACTCGGAAGGCAGAGGCAGAGCCAGGTAGATTTCTATGAGTTCGAGGCCAGCCTGGCCTATAAGAGCTAGTTCCAACACAAGCTCTAAAGGCACAGAGAAACCCTATCTTGAAAAAAACCAAAAAAAAAAAAAAAAAACAAAAAAAAAAACAAAACTCTTTTCTGTGTGTCTATACATGGATTCATCTCAGTAGTGTTTATTTGACACGGGGAACTATTTATTATGAAAGTGACACCATAGCACATAATAGTTTGGAAGACAAGCAGGCTGTCTCCATCTGCTGTCTTGGGAAACCTTCCTATGGCACACAGTGAAGAAGCAGAGTCAGGATGTAACTAACTACAGGTCTGATCTCTGCACAGCACACGCTGTACATCAACTGAGTGAAGCGTATAAGGCCTGGGCAGACTGGACTTGCAGGGACTGTGTGTGTGTGTGTGTGTGTGTGTGTGTGTGTGTGAGAGAGAGAGAGAGAGAGAGAGGCAGAGACAGAGACAGAGACAGACATAGAGAGACAGTTTTTCTTTGTTTGCAAATATGAGTAGCAACTGAATTGAACGCTTTTCCTTTAAAGGTCTCGCGCTCCACTAGTTATAGCTTGAGGATTTTAGAGACCAGCTTTAAGAAATTTGGAAAGCTAAAGAAATGCCTCAACCGACTTAAGTTTGGATTCTCACTGCCTGGAATCTCTGGGCTCAGTGGGCAGAGACAAGGGTGTCCTAGGGAAAGCTGCCTAGCTGATAAATTGGTAAACTTTAAGTTTAGTAAAAGTCTCTGCCTTAGTAAATAAAGTAGAAAGGTATCAAAGAAGACACTGCATCAACGTCTGGCCTCCACATGCAAGCACAGACATGTGCACATGTAGCTGTACACATGGACACCCACATATATACAAACATGTAGCATAACCACACATGCAAAATTAAATGTGGATTGAAAAATTAACTAAACATTACCTTTTTATTTGAAGATGTAAATTCTGCCTTTTCAAATTCAGCAACTTGCTCTAATAATTCTCTGGAGGATAAAAGCAAAATTTAAGAGAGTATACATCGACAATGAACATTTACCACACTAAGGGATAAAAAGGAAATCACAAGACCAACCTATCAGATGCTTGTAAGAAGGGCAGAAGAAAGGCCTTAGCAGTCTTGAACTCTGAGCACGCCAGCCTTTGCCTTTCAAGTTTGGGAATTAAAGGCCTGAACCATGGTGCCCAATTTGCATGCTATTTCTCAGGACTAGCTTCAACTTCATTGATCTTACCAGAGGTTTTGAATTTATGAGCGTTTCAGTATTGTAAAACTTTTAAGCCTTTTATAGTTTACATTTCCTAAGATTAAGTGTATGATTTCTAATGCAGTTATCTTGAAACAAATTTGCAATGCTACAGTCTGAATAAATGGGAATAATACATTTTCAACCTTTATGTCTTAGCAGATATGTGTATCAAATACTAATTACGCTACCAAAGATGCTGTGAGGAATCCTTACTTTAAATAGACTGAAAAGCAGTTTCATGTAGCTCAAATACTTTTTTAGTACCTAAGAATGGTGGAAACAGAGTATCTTTAAGACAACTGAGTGCTACTCCAGGGATCACTAGTGACTGTGCATTTCTGCCACCCTACCCACATTGTCTCACACCCCAGCCCAAGGAAAGCACTAGCAAAGTTATTTGCTAACTTTGAAGATCATGTTTTGGGTCTCTAAATCTCAACTACAGGTACAAATTTTACCTGTTTTCAAGTTCAGAGATGTCTGTCTGTAGCTTTAGGTACCACTTCTCAGCTTGTGAGAACAGCTGCCTCAGGAGGAGCACGTTGGTGTAGGCTGTGTTGATCAGCTCAGACTCCACCTCACTGTGAACCACAGCCTGCAGCCCATTCAGGACTTCTGTGACCTCATCCATCGTGTAAGTCTCCTCTACCAACCTGTAAATAGTATGACTCCAGTGACTAGCTCATCACAGGAGCAACTTACAAAATACAACCAAAGTCAAGAAACCCACATCATGACATTTAAACAATCAAAGATTACAGGAAAAACTCTGGAAGATATGTATTAAAATGGTTAGATTGTGGATAATTTTTCAAATGTGTTCATTTAAAAACATAACTACATGCTGAGAAACACCCCCTAAACCTTCATCCAGTCTTTTAACTTTTCAATATTATTATTTTTTTACTTTATACTCCCCTAAATTAGTTTTGTCACATTTAGAAACTTAAAGTCACCTAGACCACACAGGTTAGCAAATGTCTATGAGACATAAACTGCAGTTGTATATTAAATTTTCTTAGCAGTTTAGAGTCACAAAATAAAGTAAAATCTAACATCTTAAAGTACCACTATGATACCACAAAAACTAATGTCTCTATCAATAGCAGCATTAAAAACTACTCTCTTGGAGATGCTTGGGTTGGAACGGAACTTCAGGGGATGGGCCATCATCTTCAATCCCCTAACTGTACATAGGCCTGGAGGGTGGAAGAGACTTGCCTGTGGTCCCATGGCGGGTGACACACCTGTGCACACCTCCCACTCTCAATGACAAATGACATTACCACAGTCTCTCCCAGCTTTGCCCCTTCAGAATATTTGATAATACAGGACAAAACACACCTTCAACATTTTTCAGAGTTGATCGATCAATAATTTGGTTTTATAATTATCAATGTTGAGACACTGCTCTGCATACATGCATAGTACAAAATGGCAAGAAAATATATTTATGGTCATTTAAGAAATGTTTGCAGGTGGATGGTGGTGACACGCCTTTAGTCCCAGCACTCAGGAGGCATAGACAGGCAGAACTCTGTGAGTTTTAGGCCAGCCTGGTCTACAAAGTTAACAGAGAAACCCTATCTTGGGGAAAAAAAAAAAAAAGAAAAAAGAAAAAAAGAAAAAAGAAAAAAATGTTTGGAAATTCTATCTTAACCTCAAACCAAAATTCACTTTTATTATTTTTTTAAATGAAACTCAACAACCCAAATAAGAATTTTTCCCCACTAGGGGAGAGCTCAAATGCAATCCTCCACTACCACAAATTATAAAGTCCAATTTCCTGCATTTGGGGAAATCTTAGGGGTCAGCAAATCTGGAATGCAATGGATTAAGCCTCAACCTGGGAAAACCACCTTTGTGATCATGGTATCTCCCTTGCCAGGTAAGTGTTCAAATAACAATTTTTAAAATTGTTTAAAATCTAACCCAATAGACTCCAGAGACACTGATTTGATTCTTACATGCTGAGGAAGTATGGTAAGAAAATACTGTCTTGATCAAAATTAAGACATTATGTTTCCATAAGAGCAGAATACTTACATGTACACTAAAATCACTGTGATTCAAAGCATACAATAGTCTGAGCCAAAGAGATCCAGGCAGCCTGCATCTGTACTGGGTGGCATGATGGCCTTGGCAGTGCAAAATGTGCCTGTAGCGTGTCACTGGCAAATGCTGTCAGACACTTCAGGTTCAATTTGAATTTAACTATGAACTAATTTTCAGTGATTGTATCTTCAGAAACCTTTTACTACTGTCAAATTTTCCAGTAACATACATTCATTCAGCTCTATGACCCACACTTTTAAGAAGTAAGGCTTAAGATCTCTTGATACCTGCTCTCCTTGAGGTCTTGAAAGCAGGAATCTACTGTTTTAAGTCTCAAGCCTCTTTTTGAGCGAGCAAAACGCATGTAATTAATAACCTCATTTTGATGGTGCTCATTTAGGCCCAACTCTGCCTGTAAAAGAGAGAATTTGTAAAAGAGAGAATTTGTCAGACAAAACAACTAACAATGAAAACATACAAGACACTTCATTGGGCCAGGTATAGTGGTACGCACCTTTAATTTTAGCACTTGGGAGGTAGAAGCGGATCTCTGAGTCTGGGACCAGCCTGGGTTACACAAAAAGACCCTGTTTCAAAAAAAAAAAAAAAAAAAAAACCAGGATGATACTGTATTATAGTAACTGCTAGATGTATATCTGGTTGCCTTCTTCTCTTCCTCCTGCCTACCCAACCTACCCAACCTACCCAGCTAGAACTTCCTTGAAGTCAAATATAGTCATATGACTACTTCTCAGGAACAGAAGTAATCCAAAGAGTTATGGGGTGTTTTCAAAGACTTAAGATATGGGGTATACCTTCAACCTTTCTCATCTCCAATTTCTCTGAAAGCTGGCTGAGGGGATGACTAGGATGAGCCATGCTAGTCACTTTTATGACCCAGGGCTACAAGGACAGAAAGACAAAGACCCGATCCTTACCTCATGGAGCAGCACTGATCCACTCCTTAATCTAATGAAGGAATGTAGTAGGCTCTTTTTTGGATTACCAGCCAGCTCCCAAATCATAACAAGGGCAACTTAATAATATTGTCTATTATGGTTGTCCCACTAGTTCTTATAACTTAACTTAGTCTGTTTCCCTTCATCTACATTTTACCTCTTGGCTTTTTACCTTACATTCTGCAGGACTTGCTTTCCTCCATGCCTGCCCAGCTGGCTGATGTCTGAATTGCTGACTACCCTCAAGCATCTACCTCTCTTCCTCTCTTATTCTTTTCTCTCTTCTCGAGCCTAGATTCATCCTCCTACTTAGTCTCTCTGCCTGCCAGCCCCTACTATCCCTCTACGGCCTAGCTATTGGCTCTTTATTAGACCAATCAGATGCCTTGGCAAGGGGAAACAAATGTAACACACCTTTGCACAGTTAAACAAATGTAATGCACATAAAGTAACATCCCACAACATGAACAACAGTAACATCTTTACATAAAGCAATATTCCCTAACAGAGATGACTGCTACCTGAGAGGGAATTAAACATCTGCACTCTTTAATACACTGATTTTCAGATGTTTAGCACAGAAACTTCACCTTATCAAATACAGCCTTAAGATTTATATTTGGAGCCGGGTGGTGGTGGCACACGCCTTTAGTCCCAACACTTGGAAGGCAGTGGTAGGCGGATCTCTGTGACTTCCAGGCCAGCCTGGTTTACAAAGCTACACAGAGAAACCCTGTCTTGAAAAACAACAACAAACAAAAGAAAACAACCCAAAAAGTTATATTTGGATTTGGTTTGAAAATACCCACTAGCCTTTGTTATAAACCAGACACTGTTTTAAAATGACCGAGTCAGGAAGCTGCACAGGTAAATGCAGCTCTCAGATCTGATCATAGAAGTTTCTTTGTGCAGTGGATGGCAGTTGATGCGAACACTCAACACACTGGTCAGAGCGCAGAGAATAAGTAGTCTTACAGTTACCACACTGGGATATCTCCATCACACCCCTCCTCCAAGGCACACAGACTATCTCTGAAGAGGGAACAAAAAGACTAAGAGACAGACCAGTAGGATCAGATCAAAATAGTATCCTCACAGCTGTGGTTGCCTGCACAAAGCCAGGCCAATCAAGGGCCTAGCATGGAAGCTGAAGGGATTCACGAAACAGCTGATGACTTATGGAGGGTGGAGAGTCAGCTTCCTTTAAGAGTGTGGGCCACGGTAGGTTGATCGTGCTGCAGTGGCTGGTCCCATGTCCATGAGTATAAGGGCAGCACATACTAGGTAGGTTTAAGAAAGGAACAGGAAGTGCTAGATGAATCTGAGAGGAGCTGGGGGAGCAGTAAATATGATTTTAAATACATCATATGCACGTATAAAATCTTTAAAGGATATAACTTTTGAGACAGGGTTTCTCTGTGTAGCCCTGTCTGTCCTGAAACTTGCTCTGTAGACCAAGCTGACCTCGAACTCAGCGATCTACCTGCCTCTGACTCTCCCATGTAACCCTCCCCACTTTTTTGAGACCTGATTTCTCTATGTAACCACCATGGATGTCCTGGAATTCTATCTGTAGACCAGGCTGGCTTCAAACTCTTAGCAATCCACCTGCCTCTGCCTCCAGAAAATTGGGAGTAAAGCAGTATGCCACCACCATCTGGTGATACAAATATCAAAACAGACAAACAAACAGGAGAGTGTCCCTATTACTAAAAACTTTTTAATCTTATGCGCATTATTTGATGAGTCATTTTACCAACCCTTGTAAACTTTCAATTTACTGATGAATCCCAAGTATTAGTTGTCAAACTGACAGAAAAGACTAAGAACACAACCTAGAACTGCAGGGACTCTGGTCAGCTCAAGTATGGCTCTGGTAGGCCTTGTCCTTCACCTCCACTCCCTCTGCCTTGCTAAAAAAAAAAAAAACCATTAGACTGCATCCCTAAAGCTAGCCCCCAAAGTCTATTCCCTTATTTGACCACTTCCCCCTCATGAGGCTGACTACCAAGATCTCAATATCAAAATATTAAAGTCTAGCAATCAGGGGCTGGAGAGATGGCGCAGAGGTTAAGAGCACTGACGGTTCTTCCAGAGGTCCTCAGTTCAATTCCCAGCAACCACATGGCGGCTCACAACCATCTATAATGAGATCTGGTGCCCCCTTCTGGTGTGCACAAACACATGCAGGCAGAACATTCTTTAAAATGTCAAGAAATAAAAATAAAAAAGAAAGTCCACCAATCAGAAGCCCCTTCATCTAATTAACATGCCCAATTAAATTATAGCATTGCATCCTAGCCCACTCTAACAGACCTCCAGGCTTCTTCTCTTCTTAAAAGTGACACCTGCAACGCCATTTGCTGCTGTTTTTCTGCCTGAGTCAGAAAGCAGCCACTTTAACTTTCCTTCCCTGATTAATGGAGGATCTCTCTGTGAAAACAGGTGTTTGGGTGTGGTTTGTGCCTAACCCGGGTCCGTGAGGGAACCTGAGCTGTCCTGGGGTCTCCTTCAAGATGGGTGGATGGATGGAGGGATGGATGGATACATGGATGGATGACGGATGGATAATCTCACTAGCATCAGTTTCTCGTTTTTGAAGTCAAGAGAAGCAGGACTAGTCCTAAGCTCCAGAACTGGTTAAGGAGCGGTCTGTTTTGTTTCGATGTATACGAAGCGAGGGCTTACTGGGAATTCCGATTGCTGGGGTGTGAGTAACCTGAGCCCATTTGCGCAGCATTCTCAACAACTTCCAATTCTCCCTTCGGCTTCATTTTCGTGGTTTGTTTGTTTATTTATTTATTTTTCTTTTTACCCACATACAACCCAAGGAATTGTGTGTACTCTTTCGGGTCTTAACCTGCTTCGAGCTAAGCCCGAGCTCTAGCCTTAAAGGTGCACGTCCACCGCCCACACCCACATTTAATCGGCTGTAAAAAAAAAAAAAAAAAAAAAAGAGAGAGATGCTTCAGAAAGTCAGACTCGAGAAAGTCCAACACACAAAGCACGTTCGCAAGGGCAGGCGTGTGCCGGCTCCCGCACCCCAGCTAGGGGCGGGGTTGACGGGGCCGGGGCGCGGCTTCGGCCAGGATGGCGCCTGCGCCTCCGCCTCCGCGGCTTGGCCGAGGCGATCCCAGCCCCCTTCCCCACCGCGGCCCGGCCAGCTCGGCCCCGCGCCTCGTCCACTCCTGCCAGCCCAGCCCGGCCGCTCCGGACGCAGACACTCACCATGGCGGCGGCCGCACCACACAGGAAACGAGGAGGCCGGCGGCGCTCGGGTTGTTTAGAAGCCGCGGGTTGCTAATGGGAACGGAGGCACGTGGGCCCCCGGCGGCACGCTGCCATTGGCCCCCCGAGTCACGTGCCGCGCGCCGGGCTGACTTCCGCACGTCCATTGGCTGGCGCGTCCGGAAGTCCCACCTCTTCCTGCCACGCTCTCTTGGGGGGCGGCGCCCGCCGTTGCCGATGGTCACGGAGGGGCGGGCCGCGTGGAGTTCCGGCGCGTTTGAGGTTCGGCGACCAGGGCACGGTGACTGCGCTGCGCCGGGCTGGCAGATGCGCACCCTTCCCTCCGCGTTACCAAGTCTAGCAGAAGCGGCTGGTGACGGACACAGTGTACGGGCAGCGCTTTGTTAGACAGACGGGCTCTAGATTCGCCAGGACGGAGTGGAATAACGTCCTGATCTCTCTCTAACCCCCAATCCTCCCCCCCCCCGAACGTATGGAGTCTAGAATCTGAAAGCTTAACCGCTGTGCCAAAAACGATGAGGACGTCTTATGTTAAGACGCTGTCCTTGGCCGGCTTGGTGGCCTCAATCCAGAGATGCAGAGGCAGAAGCATCTCTGATCTGTGAGTTCAAGGCCATCCAGGGCTGCTTCCTG